AAAGACACTGGTGCAATACTGCATCCTCTCAGGATCTGGAAGAGTAACAGGCTGGAGGAAGAGTTTTGGCTGCAGGAATGAACACAGGCTCTGAGCATCCAGCTGAGATACTCATTTAACTTCATTCTAAATCTACTATTAAGAGTGTGCTGAATATTGGATGTTCAGCAGCTCAGCTGCATGACTCATGTAGACTGTTATTTTTATTCCTATTCATAATTTTTCTGTTCAAAGTGCTTGGGCTATTTTGAGGAAAGGGTCTATGAATAGGGAATATAAATAGCTTAATTATGGCTTGTTTTGCATTTCTTGCTACTAGAAAACAATTGGTCTCAAAAAAAAAGCAGAAATTATTTTAAAGCTAAAACAAGCTGCTCTGCTTCAGAGCCTGTATTGGTTTCCCAGATGATTCTGAAATGCAGATAGGAATTTTAAGCATCATGAAATTTGGGTACTTTCACACACCCTATTGAGTAAATTGCTTTCTTTGAGTTGTTCAAATAGTGAGGTGCACAGAAAATGAGCACCCTGGGAAAAAACCCCACTCTATCAACAATTTAAAAGGTAAAATGCAAATTTTATGTACTCTGGCTTAGTAGATAAATGTGTCTTATGCTTTCTTTTTATGGAAAGATATGTTTGTAGACTGAGCCACTTGCAATTGCACTGGACAGCTGCTGATATGGCCATGGAATTTGTATGGCATGCTTTAACATAGATGGCATTCTGCAAGGCAGCAAACTCTGACCCTGGGCAGGCACAGTATTTAATGTCTCTTTAAAGACTACTTTATTTCCCTCGAAGCACCTGCTGAAAAGCTTGGTAGGATCAGAGCCAGAGTACTTGGCATCTCACAAAAAACCCTCCAAGCAGCCTTTTGTCCTTGCAACATATTCACTATTTGCATTAGGGACAACAGAATTTTGGGTATCTCAGCTTCTGGTGGGCTGAGTACCAATAACAAAGGAATGATCAGCCTGCTCCTCTCTTGCCTTCTACTGGTGCTCTCCAAAGCATTTGCCACAAGGTGCTATTGGAAAGCAATATTGGTGGAACAGATTCCTAGCCTGGACTGTAAGGTTATTTGTGACTTCTTCCCTTCACCTCAGTGCCAGGTTTACTTGCTCTGAAGTGTTTATATGGTGGATTGTGCATTTATAAGAAGCACTCTCCTTGCTGTCAGTGTTTTGGTGGAACTCTTATGGCTGTTCAAGACTTTTTTCTTTATTTCGATGCAAGTTCTGGTCTTGTCCATTAAGTAACACTTTGCCCCAAACAGATACAGGACATTTGAGTATGGGAAGATTTACTTCAGTTTTGAATGAAATCACTTGGGTCTGGAGCAGCTGGTAAGAAAGAGAAGGTGAACACATTAATTTAACGAATTTTTTTTTGGCTGATTCCCTGATAAATTTTCTTCCTCAACATCCTGAGGTGGGAGTTCTTCTGAATTTGTTCTCCTTAACTCCTCATCTTTAGCAAGTACCCACAATGTTTAAAGTCTCTGATCCCAAGGATTGTCTTCATATGAGCTGCAGGTGCCATGAGTTGGCAGCACTAATTAATGACAACAGATCAGTTGCCTTCAGGGAAAAAGAACAGTGCTGGGCACCTGGTTATTCATTTTCTGACCTACAAATTCTTCCACCTTCTCCTAACTCCATTTAACACAATCGGTGCTGCTTGTTAAGTCCCAAATCTATGACATATTCTGATACTGCCTTCAGATTTTAGTGGAAGCCTTGGTGAAGCTCAAGGCTGAGAATTAGTCCTGCACGAAACAAACCTTCCACTACACAGTGTGGACGACAAAAGTACAACAGAGATACTGTACAGATATGTATTTTAAAAATCTGTTATTTCAGTGTCAGAGAAAGAAAGAATAGACTGGAGTGGAAGGTTGTGTCTAGTACTAGAGCAGAGTCATCTCTCCTAGACCCAGATCTGCAGAATTATACAGGTGGTTTGTTTGCCTTATATTGACCTATACACTAGCTATGTGTCCCTTCCCTGCTATTCTGTTCCCCAGAGGCTTGAATGAGAGGGGTTTACCATGAGCAGCTGCAGCAACAGCACCAACAAAAGCAGCAGGCATTGGACCCTCGATTTCCTGTGCTGAGCTGAGCCTGTGCAGCACTTGGGGTCTCCTGGGTCGTAGACATCTGCCGTTTGCGCATCTCCGTCCTCTCTGATCCCATGGGCTGCAAGACAGCAAGAGAAAGGGGAAGTAAGAATCTCTTTTTTCCCTTCTGTTTGCTCTAAAGTCTTACAAGAGGTGCTGAAGGCCACAGCTCCAAAGGAACTGAAAAGCTAAATGTCTGATTTCCTCCCACAGAAGTTCTTAGGTGCTGAATTCTTTGGAAGACTCACTTATTTAAGTGTTGTGATGGAAGGCGAAGGGCTAATGAATTCTGCACATGGGTGAGAATACAATGAGAAGAGAAGGGCAGTGCAGAGAACAAAAGGTACAAGTGAGGGGTCTTGGAGAGCTAGAGCTCTTGGCATAGACATACACTGCCTAGCAGCTGAAAAGGGATTCCTGAGGTTTTGACTTAAAGGCCAGTCCCAAAGAAAATGGTACAGAATAGAGGTAGTTAGGGACGCCTCGTTTTTCTTTCTTTTTTCCTTTCTCTTGATTAGCCAATGCACAGGCTTAATGATGCTTGAGTGAGACACCTGAGCTCTCCTGAAAATCTGGCCTTTGGTGAGTATTGAGGATGTCTCAAACCTGCTGGTTGCCCATGTAGCAAAGGGGGAAGGGCCAATGCTCATCTGTCCATTGTAGGTCTGACCACCACAATTTTTTACAACATTTTTCTCTCGAGAAGGAATAGAGTGCTTCTGTGAAGATGAGAAAACACACAACTAGATGATAATAATTACAGGGGTTTGGTCAACTCTCCCAGCTGAAGACAGCACCACCAAAAAGGTGGATGCACTGGTTGGTTTTTTGTTTTGGATTTTTTTGCACTGTTCTAGGTAATCTTTTTGGAGCCTGCATTTTGTAGATTGTGCAGAGAAGTGGTGTTGATGAAATGACAAATCTCCTTGAAGTCCCTGTCCCTTTCTGACCTATCTCTCTCTGCGTGTCACATTTGCTCTACAGCACTTAATAATGCTCTCCCTGTTACGCTGAGGGTTGTGCCATATGTAAGTGACAGATGTCTTTTATAGATGAAATGCCAGCTTGTACAAAGATGGATTTGTCTTTCTTAATTTTATTTGTATTTGATTTTTGGATGCATAACTAATCATCCTCCTGTGTCACAAGACCCCTTTATGTGTATGTTTGTCTCAGGTTGCTAAACCTTCTTTTGAGGCCATGGTAGTTGTAGAGGAATTAAAATTAGCTGCTACCAATTTTGAGTTCTTTTTAAAACTGATAATTGAATACCAGACTTGAAACATAATCTGATGAGATGGATACTGGGGGGTTAAGGGTTGCTTTCCTTTCTAAAATGTTCAGCCAGGTTCAGGAGGTTCTGTGTTGTAAGTTGAGGGGGAATGTAAGATGTTGTCATGGACTCGACAGAAGTGTCAGGGGAAGAAAGGAGGTTATTTTAGCAGAGTGCAGCATTACATTTAGCTGCACTTTTGCTACTGGATTTTTTTTTTATGTTGAGTTTGTTTCTGTCTTATGGAGCTTAATAGTTTTTGTATTTGTGAGAACCACCCACTCTCCCAAGAGACAAATGCATGACATGGTGAGCAGAAGATGCACCTGTTTTGCAGGAGGCATAAAATACAAGAACAACAATACAGATGGAAATGATAACCCATTTTGAAAGTCTGTAGGCCCAATCTGACAAGCAATGCCTAAATGACCAGAAATAAAAAATAGGAAAGTATTGCACGTGTCCATGGGGATATAAGAAGTTTACCATGAGGTCCTATCTGCTGCTTTTGCTCTTCCATAAACTGCTTCTCTGCTGGAATAGAGGCAAAGGCACAAACACTGAGTTTGTGTAAGTCACCTAAGGATACATTTTGAAACAAAAGTACCTTAAAAAGTATTAAGGCTATGAAGAGTATTACTGTACACAGGGAAGTGTAATGGTCTTGGAAGGTGCATGGAAAAAAGTCATAGAGATGAAGCATCAGAGATGCTAATGACAGAGCCACTAATGGGACACAAACAGAACAGCCTTATTTTATGTATGTGATTGGCTCTCTGCTACCTCTAGTATATCCACAATTTCACTATATGGGTCATTGAAGTTTTCCATCATGCTTTTCTGCTTCTTCCTGCAACCACCATAGCTGTGTAATGAATTACTGCTTTGAGCTGTGCTATGTGCAGGAATGGGTAGTAGATTTATCAGTAACTCAAGTGAGTATTATTTGTAGGGATTTACAAAATTCCTTGCTACTTTATAGTAAAATTCACATTAGCAACAATTTAAGCAATTGGTTGACTGAGTTGCAGATCTGTGGGAACTGAAGTGGTTATATTTTTGCCTTCAGGTGCCCAGGGCAAAAAGGAGAGGGTTTTTTTTAGACCTAGTAAAAAGGTCTTCTATTCATAAAATGTTATGGATGTTAATTTGGGACATCAGATGGTCTGACTGGGTCATGCAGTAAGTGTAAAACCAATTTGAAAATCTAGTACCTGTCTTCTTTGCAGCAGTGATGAGACAATACATATGAGTTGAAGAATTATTCAATATAGCAACTGGTTCTATTTGTGACCACTTCAAGTTTATTATCCCACAGTATTAGGCCAAAGATTACCAACTGTAATCAAAGCCAGTGAAATGTGACTACTAATTTTACAAGAGAGCTTTCCTTATTTTCTAGGCTGATACAGTGGGTGATCAGGTTGTTTTAATAATGAAACGTCTGAATTATCATCAGCATTTTGATCTAATACTTTAAAGTTGCTAAAGGAGTGAGATATGTTGGTACTTCTATTTAACTAAAACATTTGTTTTCCTTACCCTGGCTGAGAATACATTCAGCAAACCCAAAAATGGTAGAGTGGGGAAGTAGCACAAGAGGCACACGGGTATTTCTCCCCAGCCAGCTGCTGCATTTCATAAGGAGCATAAGAGGTGGCCTAAACATCTCCCTGCAACCTGACTTGATGCTTAAATAACCGTCTCTGTTTACTTAAACCAGCAGTGCATGTTGCAGAGAAATGCATGTACGGAGCTGGGCAGGGAAAACATTAGTTGCAGCAATCAGCTGGAAGACTGTGGTGCTCAAGGAGCCCTGAGAATTGAAGTGTGATACAACTAAGTGCATTCAGGGCTGAGGGAGAGTTCAGAGCAATTATTTGGCTGTAGAACTAAAGGGTGCATTTGTGAGGAAAACAAGGTGTACAGCCATCCTCCTACACCTGGCGCTGTCAGGTAGATCACTCAAATCTGTCAGGAGACTGTGTTTTAGTCAATATGGCATTGAAGTGGGAAAGAACCTGTGATTGAATTGGACAGTTTTCTCCTTGTAGAGAAATTTTATAATGCAGTTAGAAAAAGAAGTAATTAACTAGGCTTCTTTTTTTTGTAAACATCAGTGCAAATGTCCTTCCATCAGCAAAAAATTCTATTCCTTATTAGCAGGTGTGCACCTTGAAAATTGCAGTTGGTAACTATACCTTGTTGTCACACCAGCCTCCCAGGACAGTTGCTTATTTGGTCAGCTGACACTCTGAGGTAAAAAACAAGGTGGAGATGTTCTCTCTAAGGTTTTCAGTTTGCCTGGCATGCAACTGGTATTTAGTTTCAAATGGATTTTTTACTGCCTAGTGTCAAGTATTTTCTGTTTCCTTTCCCTGGACAATCAAATATAAGTATGTCCATCAACAAAGTGGATGTTTTCTTTGGAGCATCAAGATCTCATTGTGATGAGAGAAGATTCCATCCTAGTTTTTATACGTTCAATTTTGAAGTATTAGTGCTAATTACATGTAGTGTGCATCACATTTTCAGCTCCTGAGAAACCTCATCGCTTCACTATGACCAGTGAAGATAGGGGGATTTATATCATATACCAGCTGAGGATCTGATCTGATACTTGTATTTATGCTGCAGAGAAAAGTGACTTCAGACCTTGGGTTGGACTTAATACCTGCTGGTGTCTGAAATGCCTTCCTTCAAAATTTCTATAATTTTTTTAATTTAAGGAAAAGTTCTCCTTCAGCTTCCTCAATGCATTTAAACAGCTGGTTACAAACAGTGAGAGTTTTACCTTATCACTGAAAGTGACTCTTTCCATCTAAGGGAACGCAGAGTGTCAGTGTGTACTGGTGTGCATAAACTATTCTTCTCTGTTTCTGCTTTCATTGAATAATTATGCATTTTTTCTTTGAGAAAACTCTTATGTTTCAACTATAAAGTGCATTTTAGGGATGGATATTTTTATTTCTTTGATATTTATTTAAATAAAGATACAGACCTATGAGATTCTGTTCTTCCAGAGATCTTTGCAAGTTCAGAAAGATGAACATCTCACAGATGCAAGCTCAAATCACTGCTCTGTTATTGTTTGGGTTTTGTTTCTTTGATTTTTGGGTTGTTTTTTTTAAGTCACTTGAGTAGTAACACTGAGTTCTAGTGTTTTCCTTCATTAAGACTGAGGCAAGCTTATATTGCTGCTTCCAGGTAAGCAAGAAGAGTCCAGGAGCAGAACTTACCTCTGAGCCCAGGCAGTGGATTTCAGCAACCTATTTTGTGACAGGTTTATTCCCTAATCCACCTGGACTTCCAAAACCTTGGATGCTCCCTGGTCCCTTGTTCTTATTTAATTCCCTGTTACCTTTAACTCCCTTACTACGTTGCTGTGCTACAAGAGGGATCCATACCATAAAATTTTCCTCACTGAGGAAGAATAAGCCAATCAAAAACTGCTTGTCTTTCTCTAGGTTATCTTCCCCCACACCAAACTGGAAATTTTACTCCCTTTATCTTCTCAGATTTGCAGACCTCTCAGAAGGTGTTATGAGAATGAACAAATTGTATGAGAACCCTCTGTGCTGGATGTTCTCTGCACTTTGAGAACTGGGGTCTGCCTTCTCTGTCCCCACCATCTGGAGCAACTACGTGCCTTGTTTGAAAATGGGTTAGAGAAGAAAACACACAGGATTTAAAAACTGGAGATGGATTGCTATCTTGTACGTGTTTTCTAAGGAATCCAAAAGTACTTTTAGACTACCAATGGAATGAGATGAGATAGTGTTAATGAAAGGACTTCAGCCTCTACC